CTGGTGATGGTGTGTGTGTGGGGGGGGGGGGGGGGAGACGGCGGAGGTGCTGTTGCCAGGGTTCTGTCTGCTGATGGTGGTAGTGATGCTGTTGTCGGGGCTATGTTGGCTGGTGGTGGTGTTGGGTGTGTGTGTGTGAGCTATGTTGGCTGGTGGTGGTGTGTGTGTGTGTGTGTGGGGGGGGGGGGGGGGGGAGACGGCGGAGGTGCTGTTGCCAGGCTTCTGTCTGCTGATGGTGGTAATGATGCTGTTGTCGGGACTATGTTGGCTGGTGGTGGTGGTGTGTGTGGGGGGGGGGGGGGGGACGGATGAGATGCTGTTGCCCGGGAGGGTTCTGTCTGCTGATGGCTAATAGAGTACTGCTGTTCTTGGGGCAACGTCTGCTGATGGTGGTGCTGCTGTTGCCGGGGTTACTTTGGCTGGCAGTGGTATTGGGGGGGGGGGGGGGGTGCGCGTGCTGCTGATGGTGGGGACCTTTGCATGGGTAACTGCCGAGAACTCTGCGAGTAAGTGTCTTTCGTTTGTAATGTATGTGTTGATGATCTTACAGGATGCTCAGAGACGAGTGCAGGAGCACATAGTGCGGGTGAAACGTGAGAACGAGGCCCTACGTGCCAAGATCAACGACCTCTCCGACGACTGCAAGGTACTGATAATACAACCCCCCGCTCCCTCCGGGCTGGTCCATTCCCTCCTCCTTCTCGAACTCCCTAGATAAGTACTTACCGGCGGTGCTTGACACTTTCAAGGGGTGAGTAACCCCGCACCATCTTTCTTGCCGCCCCACCTCTAATGTCACACTGTGACGGGCCTGTAGTCTGTAGTGATGGCGGCTCAGTGCCTTCTGTGAAGCCGGAATCGAGTGGCCGTGTGTAAAGTCCACTTGTACTCATTGCCAGCAATCGCATGTCATCATGTACATTGAAAATCAACATATTTTGCGAATCGATTTTTTGTCAGCACCACTTTTCAACGAGGACAGTGTAGCTAGCTGAGTGTAGCTAGCTGAGTGTAGCTATCGGGGTGTAGCTAGCTGAGTGTAGCTAGCTGAGTGTAGCTAGCCGAGTGTAGCTAGCTGAGTGTAGCTAGCCGAGTGTAGCTAGCTGAGTGTAGCTAGCTGAGTGTAGCTAGCTGAGTGTAGCTAGCTGAGTGTAGCTGATGTATGCCTGTGCTCAGTGACAGGAAGAATCACACTACTCAAGCTGCGTCAAGGGCTGGCGGGTGCCTGTGGTGGATGGCGATTCACGGGAGTCGTGGGCTTAGACGATTATTAGATGCATCAAGAATATTTCGACCAAGCCCCCCCCCCCCCCCCTTTAAACGTGAACCCAGCTACTGTAGCAGCAGAAACTTTAGTCAGTAAATAATTTCGTCCAACTCCTGGGACGAAAAAGTCAAATAAATTCCGGACGAATATTTCTCCGTATACGGTTGTCTCTGCTCTGCTCTCTATCTCTTTCTCAGTCTCTCCGCCTCTCACTCTCACTGTCACTGTCACTGTCTGTCTTCCCCCCCCCCCCCCCCACACACACACATTCGTTTCCCAATGCATCATTTCATCTGCAGGGCTTTGAGAAGTCGCGCGTCAAGTTTCTCCAGGATATTGGCGAGCTGGAAGCGGAGAAGCGCTCTCAAGAACGAATCAATCAGTTTCGCTACGGAACACCCAAGAGTTCAGCCAAGCCGCAGAACGCAGCATCGAGCGTTCAGGAGCGGTTATCGTTCACACAGTTTGTTCCCGACCGTCGCACGTTCCCGTCGGATGGCATTCCCCGTGCGCCTATTCTCTCAGCCTTGCCCAGCAGTACCCGCCACAGCCGGCGCTCATCGGGAGCTGCTCGCAAGAGGAACTAATGATGATGGTATGGTCATACAGTCACGTGTTATTGCTGGTATTGCGTGATCGTTGATCACGTGATGTGCATGATGTCGTCGCTACATGCTCACTGAGTGGTCACATGACATGATGTCATCAGTCTGTAGTCACGTGATCACATGACATGATGTAATCATCAGTGTATGGTTTCTGTGATCAGACGAAATGATGTCATTGGTATTATTATACTCACCGTGGTCACGTGAAATGTCAACAGTTGTAGTCAGGTGATAACTTGAGGAACTGTCACATCCGCTGTGACTCACATGGATTCTTCATTGACCCAGCCTGATCACATGATCATATTACATGTATAGACACGACATCAGATCACATGATCAGAATATTAGCATGACATCATAATTTGATCACATGATCAGACTATACTCGTTACACCATAACTGGGTTTATAGTTTATACGCATGACGTCATAATCAGATCACATGATCATGTGGATATGTGGATATTCAGAACATCTCAAGAGCATGTGTACTGTCAAAGATATTTTGCAAAGAGAGCGCATGCTTACAGCTGTGCACACATACGTTGACTGCCGGCGTGTTGTTCACTTTCTGATGGGGCTGCATCGGTTCTGAACGTCATTCATTGCCGCCACCTCTGTCTCAGAGAGGAGCTGGGTGCACTCCAGTCGTAACTCAAGTAACTTATTACGTAATAAATCAGTGTAAATTGAAGGTACTAAAGTTAAGTGCATTGGTCTCGGGATACACGATTATTCTTACAGGGTGACACAAGCCACAACGAATGAAATGTTCGACCCTCTTTGAAGTTGTACTTTGCACTGTTGAGGCAACGAACTAAAAAAAAAACATAAACAAAACGGGCAAACGAAAATGATTTGAAATATCCCGAGGTTCTCGGTTTCCGTATGAGACACCATGGCATGGCAACGGTGTTCAGTACAGTGGTTGCAAGTCACAGCAGATGTTAGGTAGTGCTACGATGAGGGACATTGGTCTCAGGTTATATGTCTATTCACACACGGTGGCACAAGCCACAAACGAACGAAACGACTTGAAGCTTTTCGTTTCCGTATACTTCAAACCATGACGACCAGGCGCGTAGTCCGCATGGGGCAGGGGGGGGGGGGGGGGGGGCACATGCACTGTCTCCCCGACCCCAAAAAATGTCGACCTAGGTTCAGCAGGCACATGATGATGACCATGGATGATACACACTAGCCATCCTACACATATGCGACCGTACAACCCCCAACCCCCACCCCTGAGAGGGGGACCAGCTACACCCCTGATCCACGATGTTCATCGTACTGGCTGCAAGTCACAGCAGATGTTATTCACCTCCTCGACGTCCTGGCTGGCGTTGAAATCGTAGTGCGAGATGGCGATCTTCTTCTCCTTGTGCAGCGGCCCGAGTGTAAAGTGCACTAGGTACACTTCCACGGTCAGTGTGTTGGAGCGTACCTCTTCGACGCTGGCGAACGGCATGCGCAGCACATCGTGGAAGAAGAACGGGTTGCTCGAGCCGTTGACGGGCGTGGTGCGCTCCTTCTGCAGCTCAGCTTGGCCATGAAGGTGTTGGAGCGCGACGGCGCACGGCTCAGCTCGAAGCACTCCACGTTAAGTATGGTTATGTTTGGATTGTACTCGGTATAGTAAAAGGTTAGCTTGACGGAGGTGTGCGACTTCGACGGCGCCGCAAACATTATCTCGGTGCCCAGCTCCGGGCTGCTGGGTGCCGCTGCGGGCAGCGGACGACGATTCACGGGAGTCGTGGGCTTTGACGATGACCTCGGAGTCGATCGCCGGTACAGATCACGAGTGGACGTCGTCACGCTGACACCGTCCATGCCCGTGCTGCTTAGCATGTCCGGAAGGGAATCGAGCGATGTCATGCTCTGCGAATCCACGGTCGACTGTCGGCGCAGGCACCTGGCGCGATCAATCTTCTTCACGTCCGCCAGTAGCTCCTCCTCGGTGTAGCAGCTCTGGCTGCGCTCAAGCGTTCGCAGCAACGGCGGCTGCCGATGGGTGCTGGTCAAGCGACTCCGCGGTGCCTGTGCCAGATTGGACTTGGTGGCGCGTTGGTCGTCACCCGTAACCAACGGCGATGCCTCGCGTCGCGTAGACCTGGTGGTCATGTTGCCAAAGCGTCGACGTTCCAGACATCGCGTCGTTGTTGCTGCCCCTGCGGGACCGCGGGGATTTCTGATGTACGGATGCACCTCATAGCCGTTACTGTGACTACCGACAACGGACGGCAGATATGGAGGTATTGACGTCGAGAGATTGCGTCCACGTGAGCTCGGCATGGAATTACTTCGCTCCAGCTGCAGCGATGATGGTCTGTCGTGATTCTCATCACCCTCGACAGGGGCCGGCGTTCCGGAACGTGACTGCGCGGGACTGTATTGATCGAGACGCGAGTAACGAAGACTGTCTGAGCGCTGCTGCGGGCCGGGAGTTTTCAGCTTGCGCCCGCCCTGTCGCTTGCCGCTGCGACATTGCCGACACAGGATGCACATGCAGATAGCAATGACCGAGAGACACAGTAACGCTAGTATGCAGACAACGATGAGCAGTGCATCGCTGTTGCTGTGGGCAAAGTCACGTATCTGAAGTTGACACAACACAAGATAGGTACGCGCAAACCGAACAGACAGGAAGAAACTTTACGACAGGTTCAGGCCATCCTGTGGTTTGGTACCGGGTGGTGTGGCGATGGTGTGTATTCCGGCGGCGTGTGGTGTCGCACAGTCCTGTGCGGTGCCGTGCTGTGTGGTGGTGATGTGCCGCAGTGGTGCGGTGCTGCGTGATGTCGTGTACATTATTAATGAAACTTGTATCCTGCGACATGACATGTACAAGTACTGTACAGCTCAATGAAATCCAGTCTGAGTCGCATCATGCAAGTTTGCGCCTTGAACAATTTTGCAGCCCAGTTTTCACAGAAATAGGGCCGCACACCGCCCGGCGTGTGGCCGATTCACAATACAATTGTTTCCGACGTGACATGCGACTAACCTGAATGAAGCGGAAGTTCTTGGCAATAAGCTCCAGGTCGCTGTCGCTTGGTGGCACAGTGAACTGTTGTGCACCACCGATAGCGTAGATCGGGAACGCAGGTCACGGCAGCAAGTACAGTGGCGACTGTGGTAGTGATGACGACCACGGTGGTGTTGAGTTTGCAACGTGTGTATTGCCGTCATCGCCGTTGCTATGCCAACCGTGCTCGAGACCGGACGGAGACGAGCTGCAGCTTGTGAGCAGTAGCACTGTCTGCGGTGGAGCCGTGGATAACACCAGCAGCAGCAGTAGCAGCACTAGCAGCATGACCATGATGAGAGATCCTAGGTGCGTACATGTCCATGTGTTATGTACTTGCAGACCTGTAGAGTTGACATCTTGGACCATCCATATAATTATGTACTACATTATCCATATAAAAATCGCTCTGTGAGCGGTTCTGAAAAACCTTTACTGGTACTGCCCCGTCGTAAAAGTAAGAAATTAGAACTGGCCCATTGTCCCCCCAAATGCGAACTGATCCACCTAAATCGCGAGTGACGGGACCCGAACGCACCAGTAGCACGAGGTCGGGAGGGCACAGGATCACGGCAATTATCATAGGGTAACACCAGTAGTAGTAGTAGAATTTATTATTTTGATAGGGAAGCCTACCACTAGTACAGTACATGTACATGGCCTATGGTCCGGACCAACGTCCCCATCTGCATCCACAGGTAGGAACCTCGTGCTACTGGTGCGTTCGGGTCCCGTCATTCGCGATTTAGGTGGATCAGTTCGCATTTGGGGGGACAATGGGCCAGTTCTAATTTCTTACTTTTACGACGGGGCAGTACCAGTAAAGGTTTTTCAGAACCGCTCACAGAGCGATTTTTATATGGATAATTTCAGCTCTTTTTCCGTTCCCTCCCCACCCCAACCCCGAAGGTAAACATGATGACCACGCACGCGATGTACTGTGTGTAGCCATGCGACTGCAATAACACACTGATACATACCAGCCCTCCCCGCCTCGCTACCCCGCACACAGATACACAAACATGTGTATGCACACGGCACACACACGCGGCCACGCACACATACGCACATGCACACGACACAAACAGGAAATTCTTCATGTATAATGCCATGCAAAGCAGTGGCCACCGTACTTGAGGAAGTCAGTTGTGAAACAAAAATAATTCAACTACAGCGTGTAGACAAGCTGACGGCCAAAGCACAACATAGCAAACATGACATTTGCCCAAGGATTGCAGTTTGCAGATCATGCCATGGAAGCAGCGAATACAGAATGTAATATCATACAAAGTGACAAGCAAGGACGTGGCCATCATACACCAGAAACTTGCAGAAAGTCACATATCCAACAGATAGAGAAGTGAACAGCAATCTGATACAGCCCACACAGGACAAAGCGGACCTGATACTCGTCCCAGGATCGCAAGTGGCAAACCCTTTTCAATGCATAACATGCAGGTGTACGTTAGACGCATGAACATCTGATGATCTGACCGTGTCGCCAGCATACAATGTCATCACATGTTTACCCCACAAGTTACACACATGCACAGTAGAAGCACAATGAAAGCAATGGAAAAGTACGATGTGGTTGCTGAAGCATCTTCACACTTCAAATTCAGACTTCAATGTGGTCGTCACGGGATGATATACCTGCAAGATACAAGTGATGAAGAAAGAAAGCAGAAGGTCGTGAGGTAGGCTATGAGACACCACAAACGGTTCACCTACATGTCTGTTCAGGGCTAGTGCACTCACACGGAGAATTGTCATAATCGAGCATTTCCCAAACTGAGAAGTGCAATGAAATCCACTTGCACGCACAGGAGCAATTTTGCAATAATTATTATGATGCGCAATTCGACACGATCTGCGATGCTGCGTGCGATGTGCCCTGCTGTCATGATAGTGACAGTCACCGCGGTATGTTTTGTCAACGTCGCCCGTGCACTCTTCTGTCAAGTCCAAAGTGCTCACATACTTGGCAATGTTTTTGCAGTGATTAACTTTTATCCTAGTTATGTCACGGGTAACTTTAATGAAGTACCCGCAGGCCGTGTCGATCTGCACATCGTCCACTCTCTCATGTACTTGGCCTGCTTTGTCTGTGTATCCATTTCATGTGCGATCCACAAAATCGACTAGACAGTGGGTGCAATACGCTCTCTACCTGAAGACGTTCTTCTGGCGACATCTCACCATGTACTTGGCCTGGCTTTGTCTGTCAGGGCCGTAGCAGGCGGTCCGGCAGGTCCGGCAGCTGCCGGACCAATATTCGACCAAAGAAAAAAAACCGAACCTCACAGATGTGAGCAGCTCAGGATGTCCACCCGGTACCATTGATGGGATCGATGTGTGCAATAAGTAGTATAGAGGTAGTAGCAAGAGTAGAAATAGTAGTGCTAGTAGTAGACCTACATGTCATCAGGAGTAGTATGACCCTGCTGAAGGTCATGTGGACAGTCATGTCTGTGAATGTTCCTACTCTGTGCTTCCTGAAATGTATTGATTCTTTTCTTCCTCCAATTCTTTCTAGATAGAGTTTGTTTGTACCAAAGATTTTCCATTGCAATATCCTTTCTCCTCCTCCAAAGGTCC